CCGAGATTCTGAAAGGAAAGGACGGGAACGATAGCTCTGCTCAAACTAACCTTGTTCTGACATTTTCATCATCAGCTCCTAAGGTATCTGCTATATTGAAACGGCACCACAACATCTTAACCGAAAGTGATAATCTCAAAAAAATTTTTTCTGTTCCGCCTCGTGTTGTTTACCGACGGTCAAAAAACCTTCACGACATGTTAACGTCATCTAAAATTGGTACCCGTAAAGAGAGTGGCTGTGCACCTTGTAACAAACCACGGTGCAAAGTGTGTGTGCACATGCAAACCACGCAAAACGTCGCGAGCACGTCTTCGGACTTTAAATTAAAGATTCGTGGTAGCTTCGACTGCGACACTTATAATGCCGTATACATGTTGGAATGTAGTGCCTGTTTGAAACAATATATTGGTCATACTGAAACTCCATTCAGAATACGCTTTAATAACCACAAATCCCATGTAAATATATTCCCTCATCTACCGCTATCACGACACGTTCGCATGCCGGGCCACTCTTTCGATCAAATGAAAGCGACCATTCTTGAATCTGGTTTCCGCTCAAACCATGATCGCGAACTCCGGGAATCATACCTGATATTCAAGTTCAATACTGTAGCAGATGGTATCAATGAAGATGCAGGCACATTGACGTGTCTTCCTTCCACGTAAGCTTATTGGTCAACAATATAACAAGTGTACGCTAGTCTGCTTCTCTATCAGAGAGTGCGCTGTGCTGATAATGTATACAGAAACAGCGATTCTTATATATATATAATAGAATTATTTATCATCGGCAACGCGTATATTTTACACGCGAACCATTATTGTAAGAAAAGAGCTTTGACATCCGTAATGTCGCGATGCACACGTGTATCCCGCAAAGCCGTATCAGCTGCCAATGACTTACAAATGGTGACATCACACAGTGCTGTATAGATATATATTTTTGATCACTGAAAACCGTTTTTGTGCTGATACAGATGAGCCTTGTTCGTTACACAAGAGCATGTGTGTTTTTTGGGGGGGTCTCGAATATTGACATATATAAGCGCGCGATTTTTATGCCCTGTATTCCCAGACGAAGGCCGGTCCCACGGTCGAAACGTCGGACTAAACTGTGCTGAAACGTTCGTTGTGTGTGAATTACTCCTTTTTCTATATATATATATATATATATATATATATATATATATATATATATATATATATATATATATATATATATATATATATATATATATATATATATATATATATATAAAGCCATGTATTTATGGTCCGCACCACAGATCGCTTTTAGACTTACGAGTGAAACACAGCTGCAAAATTATGTATAAAGTGTATTGATGAAGCAGGGCAAATAAATGAAAGAAAAGAAAAAAATGTTTCAGCTAGCACCGCTTCATATGTGTACTCGAATAAAAAAGGGTGGTAAGAACTATGGAGGCCCTTCCCCTCCCCCCCCACCCTCCTCTTGTCGAAACAAAAGATCCCCCTGCCCCATATTTGTGAAAGTGTGCATTGTCGGCTGAACACTCGAGTCCAGTAGCGAGACTCACTGCCTTCGGTTTCGTCGAGAGGACTTTTAGCAGAATGCGGGTGCGAAAATAGTGGAAGAAATAAAGGCTATATTCTTTTAAACAAACCTGGTAGTGCTGGGATAGCACAGGTGTCCACGTAATCCAATGAAACTCGAGGCCGTGTCTTTAATTGGAGTCGATGGAAATATTATCTATATCTAGGTCACACTACTATAGTAGTAGTAGCCCGTGAAGACGAAAGCGTCTAGACTAATGAGACCACTAATATCGAGGCTTCTCGAGATGTGGCGAGACGTGTGTAAAATCTTAAGAGTTCATTCGAAGCTGAACCGGATTTTGGGGACAAATGCGTCTGGAGAGAGAGAACAGCGCGTCTCAACGCTGCCGCTTATTCTAGGGAAGAGGCGCCAGGCTCCTCGTGCCACGCGCTGTGGCTCTTTATTTTCGTTTTTCTGTCACGCTCTATGTTCACTTTTCTTAACAACGTGACCATACTTCAAGAGAACTAGTTGGTGGCGGGGCAAACACAAAAGATGAAAAAACAAACTAGGTAATAAAAGCCGGTAAAAAATCATGCAGTGGTCATGTGGATGAGCGTGTCCATCGGTGAACTAGTTAAACGTCACTTGCCGTTATCAATCACTTCACAAATCGTCAAAGTTTTTTTTTACCTCACGTGAGCTCCTTGGCCAAGGGTGTACGATCTACGAGGTAGTGCAACACCACTTGAGGTGGAAAAATTGCGGGGGAGGGGGACGGGGAGGGAGGGGTAATAATACTATAGATTGAGAAAAGAAAGTGCCTTTCGTACTCGAGTCATTTTATTCAAATGGATGAAGAACCATGTCACCTTTACCTTACACATAATCGGTTCAGACTTGTTTTCGTTCACATATCTGAATTCGATCCCAGAATTTTACTGTAGAACACACCTGTTTTTAAGAAGATTCTCTTCAGAACTCTTATGTAAGCAGGCACACTAAGCTGCATAAATATGAATTGACGTGATTTGGCTGGTTAGTGGAAGTGATGTTTAATTTTCCTGTAAATATTGTCCATCTGGGAGGTAATTTAGAGATAGCGAAGTTAGTAATGTAATTTATAACGCGAATTAAAAGAGCGGTTGCTCTAATACAGAGCCAGGCTGCTCGTCGATATAAATATATAAACACAGAGTCCCCGTACGCTTTCTAACCCCGACATGATAACAAAAAAAATTGCGTGAAAAAGCAAACCAACGATTAGTTCAGTAAACTTGCATAACTTGCATGTCCTCTACTTCCAGATGTTGAATACTTTTTTACGGTACAAATGGTAGCTAAGCCACTCGATAAATGGGCACACTCTTTAAGGTATCCTTTTTTTCTGACACCCAGCCAACCTTTTAGTACAATTGAAGATTCACTCAGTTAGTATTCTTACTGGTATAAAGCACGTCTTTCAATTGCTAGCCAAGATTGATACCGATAACAAGAAATAGTGGTCTAACAAAGATATTCCGAAATAGATGCCATTGAGCCCTCATATTGAGTCACTGTAACTAGCGTGATACAGCCGGAGACGCGGAGCCCATACATAGACAGCCGGCGAAGTTTTTGCCTGTCACCACAGTGGCGCCATATTTAGGAAACTGGTGGTGTCCTGGAGCCAATGAATTTCGGAGAGCAAGGATTCAAACACAATCGCGGGTATTACACCACAATGCTCTGTTACTCAGTTCAAATGTAAGGATGTTGCAGACTCCTTTACGCTCAGCCGTGCTTCCTTTATTTCTTTGAGCAGGCTTGGCAGCTGCGGCAGTTTTGTACGCTCGCTTTTGGTTCTTTAAATACGTACGTGTAATGACATGTAACACGAACGAGACGATACACGACCATGTCGTAAAGATTCGAAATGTTTGCAGTTGCCACAGGACCTCAAATCACCAATAAATAGTAGGTGTGAGCGCACATTCCAATAACTACTACGAACCAAACATTTTCTTTATTTAGTTGAATGTTTAGACAACTTTGATAATCGAACACTTAACGACTTATGAATACTACGCATTCTTGTTTTTAAAGTAAAACATCGCTAATACGTATCTGTTAGGTTAAACTGTATACACTTTGCGCTTTTTGCATACTAGGCCTCTGTGTAGAACTGCGCTCTGTTCCCAGCAATCAGCGGTGTTTTACTGTAATCAAAAGCACAGACTGGTGGGCTAGTTGAAGTGCATACGTAATTCACGCAGTTCCGAAAAGAACCACATGGATGGTGAAAGAGCAAGGCAGAACTGTAGTGCTGTTCCGGTCTTGTTCTTTCGCTGTCCATTTGGCTGTTTGCGTTACCCGCGTGAATTTATTGAAATACTTGAAGCATAGGTGTTACGCGAGCATTATTGTTGTGATATGTAGCGGTTTCTTTTTCAGCAAGCATTATTCCACAGCTGTTTCAATGCAGCATATAGGCTATATTGTGCTTTCTCGTTCTATGAAGAGATACAGTACGATAACTGTCAAGAACAGTACTTGAACGATTTTGATACTTAGAAAGAAAAAAGAAAATGTGCGAGCATCCTAGTGCATAACGAGAGGTCCTTTTTCACTTTCAGACGTAGTTACAGCACGTAAAGAGTGCTCCCGGTTAAGATGTTCAGTACCTAGTTTTTTGGCGTGTTCTTTTGCAGTTAATGCAGGAAAAAATATTTTTAATGTGCTGCAGCGTAACTGCAAGCAGTAAGCTTCAGTGATATTTTTTTATTATTATAACCTTCTTTTTTTATTTTTCGCTTTGCAGCTTATTAAAGGCGCACGCACGCCTGAAGATGGCCATCAAAATAGCTTGTGTGACAAAATTACAAATTTTGGAGGAGTGGAATGAGCATGCGCGATACAGTGTGGGTTGAGGGTCATTTGTTTGTTTGGATACGATCGCACATACCCACTCTGGGGGATTGGCCAAGAAAACATATAGTATCCTATGGATGGAAACTGCACTATTGCTTACCAACAAAAATAAAGGAACGAACATTACAAAAATAAAGAGCGGGAAAGTGAGAAACAAAAAAAAGGAAATGAGAGCTATTACAATAACGATATTCTGATTTTTGGAGTCGACCATACAGTTGAGTTTGCCAAGTCAGATTAATTGGGCATGTATTCATGTTTTATATTTTATTGCATCTTAAAATTATTTCCCGATTACTTTTTTCCCGAGTACTTTGGAGAGGATATCGTCTTCGGTGGATATGATAAATGCTGATCCTGATGACACTTTCGATTTTTGATTCGATATTTGAAACTCATTTTTTTCTGGGAGGGGGAAGGGGGCTTATTAGCATTATCAATGACATTCGAAAATTTCAATGTAGGAAGGCTATGTCGGTGGATCACGCGTTCTTATACCGCTTGTGTAAGCTGCGCCATGATATTGGCTAGCAGCAGCCGGACGATGAAAGCTCTGTGGCGAATCTCACCCCGATGCCGTTGCGATGACACCCAGCTCAGGACCCCATTCATCCTGACCGTGCTGCTGTTGAGGTCGGATGGATGCGGAGACCAGGCGACTCGCCAGTTTTCCAAGCAGCGCCTGCACCGCGTGCACAGGCTTGCGCACGAAGAGCACATGTGGCTCCGTCAGGTTCATGCGAAAACGCGCAAGCTGCGTGCGCTGGCTGAAGGTCTGGGGTGGGTAACTGAGGAAGCTGTTGTCGCTACTCAGGGACTCACAGGAACCGGTCTCTGCCAGATGCGTTTTGATCAGCTGCAAAAGAAGACAAAGGATGAAAGCGCACGCTTGATTGATTGATTGGTCAGTTGATTGATTTAGTGATTGCTCGATTGATTGAATAATTGATTGATTGATTGATTGATTGATTGATTGATTGATTGATTGATTGATTGATTGATTGATTGATTGATTGCGCGAGTGAGTGAGCGAGTGAGTGAGTGAGTGAGTGAGTGTGAGAAAGCGAGCGAACATGTAGGTTATGGCCGACAATATTTCAAACTCTATTCTGCGTAGTCGCCAAGTACTTCGCCATCGTGGTCAACACTTCGTGCTCAGGACGAAACACCGAACTTTTTTATTATTTTTTAAGCGTTGGTCTCCTAAGGTTTTTCAAGAACCTAGAAATGTTTTTTATACGCGAAGCAGCATATTCACCAACACAAAATTTACAATATTATGCGACATATCATGCCAATAGAATAGCAATCTGCATACGTAAATATCGCCGTTTGGGCCGTGATGCTATGGTGTCGTGTGTACCAAGCAACCACACGTGAAACCAAATCATTGCTCAGGCAGTCTAATTAAGAGGTAACGAAGGAAAAAATCAATGGGAACCAAGCATTTGATACTTGCTATGGAAGCCCACGTAATCAATATTAGTTCGAGTGCAGCTTGCCTCTAAATGGGCAGAAACATAAAACCGTATAAGACCTTTCCACTTTGCTATTATTTTTCGTTATCGTTATATAATCAGAAAATAGCGCGCTATACAGTCCGATAAGAAAGAAGCTCTGTCGTGTGTCCTCGTGCAGTGCATGCTCGTACATCGACTCCCCATTTTTCCGAAGCAGCGAGCGTCCCCCAATCAACTGGAATCTCCCCGATCAACTAGAATCGCAAGCACTTATTACAGAAGGCAACATCTGAATGCACAGAGGGTCCGCAGAGCCAAACCACCAGCCCATGCGAAGACGTACTGGCATTGGCAGAGCAGATGCACAGATGCATGGCGGGTGAAAACGATCGACCCGTATTCGGGACCGGATTTGAACACTGGGTTTTTATGCGCAGCCACGCATCCCCAGCCACCGAATATTAGCTGGTTGCTCTTGGCAATGAAAACGATCCTTTTCAGCGTTTCACCAACGATATGCCCCAGCAAAACTAGCTGCAGGAATTCAGTTCGTTGAGGCCACTGACCGTAGCGGCGACCAGCAGCAACTCACACAGACATTTCTTTTGTAGTGGGTCAGGCGGCATCAACTTCGACAAAGACCTGTGACAGCCCATTGACAGCGTAAGGGAGCAATAACCAGCATACTTCCCGCGCCGGAGCTATCGATACACCGAGCAAAGGATCTAGTTGCTGGCACATTGTATCGGCCTGACAACGAGTGCCTACAAGACGGATATATCTACCTCCATCATGTAGGAGTGGCTTGGTTGTTTATATTGTTTACAGTTGCAAAATGGTGCCAAGAGCAGCATGGGTATTACCAACAATAAAAGCGGTAGGCGAAAATATAGCGCTTGCGCTTGCGAGGATTGTAGCGCTGGGTGGTACTACGTAGGTATACTTTACTGGATGGCGTTAACACTACACCGACGTGACGCCTGTATTAAATGCGAAGCGTTACTTTGCCTACTGCTGGCACTCCGAGCATCTATCTATCTATCTATCTATCTATCTATCTATCTATCTATCTATCTATCTATCTATCTATCTATCTATCTGTCTGTCTGTCTGTCTGTCTGTCTGTCTGTCTGTCTGTCTGTCTGTCTGTCTGTCTGTCTGTCCGTCTGTCTATCTATCTATCTATCTATCTATCTATCTGTCTGTCTGTCTGTCTGTCTGTCTGTCTGTCTGTCTGTCTGTCTGTCTATCTGTCTGTTTGAACGTGCGTTAAAGAACTGGTGGTCGAAGTTCCAGGCGCCCTCCCATATACCAATATAGAACATGGGCTTGAAGCGATAAGCATATAAGCGGCAAGCCAGATGGGGCAGCATATATCGCGGGGGAAAAAATTGGCCCCGTATCTGCATGTTTCCGAAAATTTCATCGAAAGACGATAGTCTTGCGTGTGGAGAGAGTTAACAAGACATTCATTTGATGTTCTGCAAAAGAAAATCAGTGAGTGGTATTCCGGAGGTGCTGCGTTAGAGTGCCTCGAGCGTGCAGCGGAGGCGAACAAACGCATCACGTAACGTCACACGTGAGACATGAGCGCCATCTGGCATTTGTCTTGGAAAACGAAATGCGTGGCTCTGAGACGGGCGCGCACGCCCGTCTCAGTAGTGATAAGGTGTAGAACGCAAGGTGACGGGCAGGTGCCATCACCATGTCGTCTTAGCAAAGCGTGGGAAACACTTCCCTTTTTGTGCAAGCATTGCATGGTCAGCGCCACGTGATAAACGCTACGGTCCTTGGAATAACTTATGTATGCCTTTTCTAGTAAAAGACGCACATATAAAATATATACGTTTTGTTATGGTGCCTCAGATATGCGTGATAATTGCTTTTTCATTGACAATCGCACAAATATGAACGCTGAATCTTGAGGTGGGCGCTGCGGATGAGTTCGGCCGTTGTGTGTATCCGCTCGTGACGTTTAAAAGGCCCAGTACCGTCAAGAGTGGACAAACAGACAAGTGTACAGACAGACAGACAGACAGACAGACAGACAGACAGACAGACAGACAGACAGACAGACAGACAGACAGACAGACAGGCAAACCAAAATTTTTGCGTCGAAGGTCCCCAAGAAAGACTATCTTCTGTAAAACGCACGTGCACTCATGAGAAAACGAAAACACACACAGGCAGGGTGTTCTGGCTACAACCATTCAAAAAGACTGGTATATTGCAAAAAGTGCAGTAGCACTTTCTGGGGCTTCTTTTGTGAAGTTGCATCTTGTCGATATTGTAAAATTCTTTCCTCCGACAGAGGTTGATTATCCAATTTGCTGACTTTGTTGCGAAGGCATAGTCGTTGTCTTCTATACTATAGGCAGTCACAAAGGATATGTCGGATGGTTTCTTCTTTGCCACAGTGGCCACAGGCTGCGGTGTCAACCATCCGTTAGTAAACGCAACGCCCAACCACAGCCTACATAAAAGGGTCTGGTCTGCTCTGAAAAGCATCGACGATACTTGAAGACCTGACGTAGGGTCATGGGAGTACAGTCGGGCATGCTTGAAGTGCGGCTGATTCCACAGTGATGTGGTTTGCTGGCGAGCAAGCCAGTGGATCTTTCGTGCAGCATCTGTCCTACAAAGTGGTAGTAGCAGTCATGGTTTTCTGCGTGGGCTGAGCAGGAAGCATGATCGACCCGTTCAATGCCGATGACCTCGCAGTGACTGGGTAACCACTGAAATGTAATTTGGTGCCCTTTCTCAGTCAGGTAGTGTTTAACCTCTGCGATCTATAGTACTAGCTGCTCGTGTGGTCCGCGGCGTAATGCTGGTAGTAGATTGTCACAGAACGAGCGCTAAAAACGGGCGCGCCGCCAAATTCTTGCGATAACGCGCCCAGAGAGACGCGGCGAGGTCAACAAAAAAAGAAAAAAGAAAAGCGAAAACAAGCATCCAAGGCTCCCCGGGCGCGCGACGCCTCTCCTCTCGGAAGCGTGGCTTCGCCGATGAACCTCCTCAACCCACAGCGGCGGCCGGGCAAGCGCTAGAAATTTCCAGAACGAAAGGGGCGTGGTCATACCGAGCTGAGTCATCTGCCGCGGAGGGCGTTCCAACCGTCTCGCCCTCTTCCCAGCCATCGCTGCGTATCGCGCCGACGAAATGACGAGAACCGTCTGGAATGTCGCGCGCAAGGTATTTAACCGAGCAGCCGAGATGAGAGATCAGGAGAAGACGGAAGTTGCGCCAGTGTCACACCGGTCCCGTTTATTAGGGAGGCGATCGCCGGGCTAATTCCAAGAGCCGAAGTATCGGCCCCCCGAACCGCACCACGAAAGCGTGGACAATTTAGAAGTGGTCCTTTTTGGCGCGCCAGCGGACGCCGGCTGTGGCCCAAAGAACAAGTCGGAGCCGAGAGTTGATAAACAAACAAATTATATTTTCAATAATGGCAGATCGAAAACAATACACAAAAATGCACACTCCACAATAGTTGCATACAATATGTCACCAATCAAACCAATCAATCAACGTACTACACAATACAATCAGCCACACTTGAAACAACGGACACGGACAACAATACGCACTACAATGCAGTCGCATGCATTGAACAACCAAGACACTTGAAGACTAGAGAGGTAGAAAACCTATTCAGTCCAAAGTTCTTGGAACCAAAGTCTAGATGATACTCTTCCGAGAATCACTCACTCAAAGTCCAGCGTTGTTGTCGTTCCGCAGCCCTCGAAGTTTCTCTTCCAGGAAACCTCGCCGGAGTTTCTCTTCCAGGAAAACTCCCGTCTTCAATAGGCCACTCTTCAAACTTCAACTTCTTCGCCGGAACCACGTAGGCTTCACACACGCAGCTGTTGCCACGCGTCCTCGCTCAATAGCGGTAAACACACGCTCTTGCCTGTAGCTCGAGCCTTCACCAGCAGGTGGAAATCCTCTTCATCTCCGGCTTCGTCCCTACGGACCAAAAACTTCGCCGACTACACGGCGGAATCCCTACGCGCTCTGGCGCTCACTTCCGTCTCCTCCTGATTTCTGGTCTCGGCTGCTCGATTAAATACGTTCCGCGCCACCTTCCAGAAAGTTCTCCTCCTTTCGTCGGCGCGATGCGCAGCGAAAGCTGGGGAGAGGTGCGAGACGGTTGGACTGCCCTCCCCGGAGGATGATTCAACTCGGTATGACCACGCCTCCTTCGTTCTAGAGAAATCGCGGGCTTGCTCGGCCGCCGTTGTGGGGTGAGAAGGTTCGTCGAGGAAGCCACGCTTCTGCGGGGAGAGCGCGCGCCCGGGGAGCCTTGGCCGTTTGTTTTCTCTTTCTTTCCCCTTTTTTGTTTTTTTTGACTTCGCGGCGTTTCCTCCGCGCGTTACCGCAAGAATTTGCGGCGCGC